CTCCTCACCCTCTCCCTCTCAGTGGGAAGTATGACGAGGGCATGGCGAGCTAGATCGATAAACCGGATCTCATACTGAGTGACTATCATAGACCCCTGCTGGAGGCGCTTGAACTGCCTCCGATAAGCATACCTCTGAGTAACGGGGAGAAACTTCTCCAGGAACAACTCTGAAAACTGATCCCAAGTCAAAGGCGGCGACCCTGCTGGTCTGGCTAAACAGTAATCCCTCCACCAAGTCTTGGCGGATCCAGATAGACGAAAAGCCGCAAAATCAACTCCATTGGACTCCACAATGCCCATGTTTCGAAGAACCCCGTGGTAGCTATATAAGAAATCCTGGGGGTCCTCAGAAGAAGCTCCGCTGAATGTAGCAGTGAAAAGCTTGGTGAACCTGTCCAGCCTCCACAAAGCATCAGCAGACATAGCCGCTCCATCACCGGCCTGTGCAACTACTCCCGGCTGAACTGCCACAGCTGGCTGAGCCGGTGGAATCTGAGTCTGGAGAGCTACCTACTCCGGAGTACGTGCAGCAGGAGTCTGGGCTCCTCCTCCAGCCTGAGAAGTGGCTGGTGCTGCAGGAAGATATCCTCCTCGGGTGACATTCTCCATGAGGCCAACCAATCGGACCAAGGCGTCCTGAAGAACTGGGGTAGCAATAAACCCCTCTGGGACCTGAGCTGGGCCCACCGGAACTGTCTGAGCTGGGGCCGGAACCTCCTCGTCAAGGACAACCCGAGGGTCCGCCACTGGTGTTGCTGCTGGTGGCTGGGCCCTGCCCCTACCTCGGCCCCTAGCACGGCCACGTCCTCTGCCCCTAGCGGGAGCTGCTTGGGGCTCGGACTGCTGATCGGAGGATGAGGAAGCGCGTGTTCTCGCCATCTGCGAAAGAACAGAGTGGAAATTCAATCAGCATTTAAGAAACCAAATCGCACGACAAGAAAGAACAGATGAGAGATTAACCTAACTCAATAGACTCTGGGGAACAAGTACAGACGACTCCGTACCTACCCCTCAGACTCTACTAAGTTTGTCCGTGAGTTGTGAGACCTATGTAACCTAGAGCTCTGATACCAACTTGTCACGATCCGGATTTCCCACCATCAGAGTCGTGATGGCGCCTACTCGTGGTAGCTAGGCAAGCCAACTTAATTACCTTTCCATCACCAGCAATTATCTTTAACAGTTTATAACATCAATATAGAACTTAAGTCTAATAAGAACAACAGCGGAAGTCTGTCTTAAAAATGGTGAATTTAAAACGCGGAATAGTCAAAACAACCTCTACCCAAGATTTGGTGTCACATTACTCACGAACCACTAAGAATAAACTAAATACAAAGATCTGAAAGAAATATAACAGTTGTCTGTCTCGAAACAAGGAGGCAAAAGTCTAAAAGAAAACAATGAGAAGAGACGCCGGGCCTGCGGAAACCTGCAAGGCTACCTCAGTCTCGTGAATATGAATCGCCTGCTTCCGAACTACTGCTGCTGCTGTTCCTCAAAACCTGGACCTGTGCAAATATGCACAAAAATGTAGCATCAACACAACCGACCCCATGTGCTGGTAAGTGTCTAGCCTAACCCCGGCGAAGTAGTGACGAGGCTAGACTGGACACCACATAAACCTGTGCAGTTATAGATATACAGCGGAAATCGAATACAAAGCAATTACCAACATGGGAGGGGAAACATGCTATGGGGAGTTACAATAATAACAATAATCCAGAGTAACAACTAAAGCAACTTAGGTTCACAGCGAACAAGGAATCAATACTCAAATGTAAACACATAGCCTCAACAATTGTTGCGGCGTGCAACCCGCTCCATAATTACCATTGTTGTGGCGTGCAACCCGCTCCACAATATCATTGTTGCGGCGTACAACCCGACCCATATCACTTATCATATATCATTGTTGCGGTGCGCAACCCGATCCTCAATATCATTGTTGCGGCGTGCAACCCGATCCTCAATATCATTGTTGCGGCGTGCAACCCGATCCATATCACTTATCATATATCATTGTTGCGGCGCGCAACCCGATCCTCATATATTATTTAACAGTCTGACTTTCCAAACAACAGTCACAATTAAGGGGCACAAAATAAGCAAATATTTGACAAACATTCCGGCAAGGGAAAGATTCCAACAAGTTCAACCAAACGTCCCGACAAGGGAATAATCAACAACGCTTTCTCTTTCTTACTTTCCTTATCTTATAATTCACTTTACTATTTTGGTCCAACGCTCCAAAGAATCAAGTCATTTCGTATACTTTCAATATTCGTATCACAATTCGAGCCAATGCTCCCAGGAATCAAGTGATCATATTACCGTTCACATGTTATTCACAACAACTAGAAATCCTCCAATAAACACGGAGTTCACAACCAAGTCACGATAATTACACTATAAAGACTCACGGTCATGCTAGACACCAATGTATAGATACTCGTCACCATGCCTATACATCGTACTCGATCACATAGCAATTAACAACAAGATTCAACTCCTATTCCCTCAAGCTAGGGTTAAACCAAACACTTACCTCAAAGCCTTGAGATCCGCTTAATCCTCAACTATTGCTTTACCTCGTGATTCAACCTCCAATTCAGTGATATCTAGGCATAATCAATTTAATAATGTCAATAAAGACCCAATTGTAACATCCCATAGCCTAGATATGAATTTCCTAGCATTATTCCAAAAATCCCGAAATTAGACACCGGGCCCACATGGTCCAAACTCGAGGCTCGGACCAAAACTCAATCACCCATAACCCCACGAGTGCAAATATATAATTTGTTTTAAGATTCGACCCCAAATTGAGGTTGAATCACCCAAAATTCTCAAAACCCTAACTCTACCCAAAACCCATAGTTTCTACCTTGATTTCATGTTTTTAGGGCTAGGAATTCACTAATTAATGAAGGAAATCGAAGGAAACAAGTTAGATAACACTTACCCAAGAATGTTTGGTGAAGAATCCCTCTACAAGTCGCCTAGGGGCTGTGGAGAAGAAGAGCTCGTGTATTTTTGTGATAAAACCCGTAGCTACTGTTTCTGTTTTTTTTAAAAATTCGCTGGGCAAAATTGCCCTACGCGATCGCTGAAATAGGGATGCGATCGCGAAGGGTACCCCTGACTGGTCATCGCGATCGCGTGGAGGGTTACGCGATCGCGTAGAAGAACTACTGGGGGTCCAAGGATTTGGCTTACGCGATCGCGTGGTTCGAGACGCGATCGCGAAGGAAGACGACTCAGTGCTATGCGATCGTGTGGGGAAGAGCGTGATCGCGAAGAAGGACGACTCAACTCTATGCGATCGCGTGGGGAAGAGCGCGATTGCGAAGAAGGAAATCCCTGTGTAAAATTTGCAGAAAATCTGATATCATCCTAAGTGCAAAAACACCCCGAACCACCTCCAATTCACTCCCGAGCCCTCGGGGCTCCTAACCAATCACACTCTCAATAACATCCTACGAACTTACTCGAGCGATCAAATCGCCAAAATAACCTCAAAATCATTGGATCAAGCCTCAAAATCATCATTTTCTTTTCAAACTTCATAAACTTCAAACTTTAGATATTTAGGTCCGAAACACGTCAAAAGACGTCCGATTTCGACCAAACTTCACAGAAAGCGCTTAAACAATATATAAGACTTGTGCCGGGCCTCTGAACCAAAATACGAGCCCGATACCACAGTCTTTTAATAAATATTCATTTCCATTTTCCTTATTAATTTCAGAAAAATAATTTCACAGAAAAATTCATTTCTCGGGCTCTAGAACTCGGAATTCGACTCCGGACACATGCCCGAGTCCCATATTTTTCTACGGACCTTCCGGGACCGTCCAATCTCGGGTCCGGGTCCATTTACCAAAAATGTTGACCGAAGTCAACCTTAAACATATTAATATCAAAATTCTTCAAATTTTTTACAGAATTCACACATTTCAACATAAAAGCTTTCCGGCTATGCGCCCGGACTGCGCACGTAAATCGAGGCAAGTAAAAATGAGATTTTCAAGGCCTCGGAAGCACGGAACGGATGAGGAAACAGGTGATGACCCTTTGGATCGTCACAGTGTTATAATTGAAAACAAAACACGCATTATGAGATTGATTTGAAAATTTTAAAGATTTATAATACAGTATTTCTCAAGTCTTAAGCTTGTGGATTAAGGGCCAGTAGAAATTAATAACGCATTAGGATTCAATGCAGTTTCCTTGTTACGTATACAAAAACTAAAGAAAATAGAGTGGAAAGGGTTATATATATATATATATATATATATATATATATATATATGATACTACTATTAATTATCAAAAGTCTTTAATCATTAAATGACCGTGTGCACAAGTCTCTTCAGAAAGAAAAATTCTTTCCCATACAGAACTTTAGTTCTACTATCATATATTTTAATTTTCTATGGTTTTGATCATTTCTTTTTGTTT